AAGCAGGCTCTGTGCTGACAGTAATCAACCCGGCTGGTGTGGGGCTCAAAGTCAATCTGGGAGATCATGACTTGAGCTGAAGTCAGAGGCTCAACCCACTGAGCCACCCAGGTGCCCCACAAGTTTTTATTTTAAATCAATGACTCCTAAACATTCTGGGAGAATTCTATAAGATTAAAAAAAATTTCTTTATGAGGAGTGCCTGGCTGGCTCAGTTGGCAGAGCCTGTGACTCTTGATCTCAGGGTTATGAGTTGGAGTCCCATGTTGGCTATAGAGCTTACATTTAAAAAAAAAAAAATTAAGGGGCAGTTGGTTAAGCTTCTGACTTCAGCTCAGGTCATGATCTCAGGGTTCATGGGATTGAGCCCTGCTTGGGATTCTCTCTGTCCCTTTCTTCCCTCGACCCCTCCCCCACTCACACTTTCTCTTTCTCTCAAGCTAAATAAATAAACTTTAAAAAATTAAAATCAAAGAAAAATAAAAAATATTTTAGGCATACAGAAAGTTATAAAGAATACTATGTCAAACATCCACATTCTTCTCACACGGCTCTATCAAATTCCAATATTCCACCACATTTGCTTCAAATTCTCTTAAGGAAATTAATATTTCAGATAGGTTGGGCTTTTATATACTCCTTCCTAATCTCATTCCATTCTCCCCCTTGCTCTTCATCTTCTCTCCTCAGAGTTTGCCACTATTCCAAATTGGTATTAATTTTTCCTCTTCATTAAAAAAATAAATTTATTGACTAATATACATGTATTTCTATTGGATATATACCTAGGAGTGTAACTGCTGAGTAATAGGGCAGGTATGTGTTTAGCTTCAGTAGATATTGCCAATATTTTTCCTAAAGAGATTATAACGGTTCACATTCCTCCAACAATATATGAGAAGTCTAGTTTCTTCACTTCCTTGACAACTCTTGACATTGTCAGTCTTTCTAGTTTCAGTTATTCTAGTATATATGTAGTGGTATCTCACTGTGGCCATAGTTAGCATTTCCCTGATATCCAGTAAAGTAGGACACCTTTTCATATGTCTATTGGTTATCTTTTCTGACTTGCCTGGTCAGGTCCTTGGCCTGTTTTTTTTATATGGTTCTCTGTATTTTTTCTATTTGTATGAGCTCTTTATATATTTTGGATAGGATTCTTTTGTTAGAAAGAATTATCTGTAGCTTACTTTTTTGTTTTCTTAGTGGTGTTTTTCAATGAACTAAAGTTCTTCACTTTAATATAGTCCAATTTATTTTACTGTTTGTGTATAATGTGTTTTATGCCTGTTTAAGAAGTATTTGCCTATCCCAAGGTAATGAATATATTCTCTTATGTCATTGTCTAGAAACTCTATTATTTTATTTTTTATAAGTCATCTGCAATAGATTTTGTGTATGGTGTGAGGTTAAGAGTCAATATTAATTTTTTTCCTATATGGTTATCCAGCACTTTTTGTTGAAAACATTGTCAGAGTACAAATTCCAAAAAGTTAAAAGCAAGATTCTTATAAGAATATAGAATGAAAAACATGCCAAAGATTTATTTAACTTATTAATGACGGAATAAGCAGTATGGTAAAGCATGTTTAATGAGCATTTAAGGAAATTAGGTATTATATTAGAGCTCTGGTGAGGGGTGAGATACACACACACACACACACACACACACACACACACACACACACAGGGATAGAGATAGAGAGATTTTACTATAAGGAACTGGCTCACAGGATTATGGAGGCTAATAAGTCCCAAGATCTTTAGCCAGCAAACTGGAGACCCAGAAGAGGTGATGGTGTAGTTCCAGTCCCAGTTCAAAGGCGTGAGAACCAAAAAGCTGACAATGAAATTCCAGTCTGAAAGCCAGCAGTCTCAACACACAGGAAGAGCTATTGTTTCAGTTTGAGTCTAAAATCAGGAAAAAGGACCAATGTCACAGTTCAAAGAACTGATCAGGGAGAAATTTTCTCTCACTTTCTTGAAGCTTTTATTTTTAAGTAATCTCTACAACTGCTACAGGGCTCAAACTCACAACCCTGAGATCAAGAGTTGCATGCTGACATCTTACAGGTGCAGAGATTATGACTTTGGTAGATGAGACTAACATGTTTGAAAGTGTAGGAAGAATGTTTATTCTTCATTCCAAGGAGGTAATTAACAATCAACTGTTAGAGAAACAGAGAATAGCAGAAGAAACAAATTAAAGAATTGAAACAGAAAAAATCCTACATGGAATGGAGTGTGAAAGAAGCTGAGGACAACATCTGGAAGATGCTGATGGCATGAAGGGCACAGCAGGAAGCCTCTAGCAGAAGCCTCCTTCCCCCTCCCTTTTCTGGCAAGGGCAGAGGGACCCGTGTGGGGATACATCCTCACTTCTGCCCTGATGGACTCTTTATTTGGATGATCTGGTAACACAATGTTTTCTGCTTCACCCTGGTCCCCTTTCAGATCCCAACTCTGTATTTTTTATCCTAGTTCTGCCTGAGACCCCTGCCCAGGACACTCTTCTACCCTGGGGGTGAATCACAAACTCCCAGGAGAGAGAAAATGGGAGCCAGGACGGATAGGAGAGCTCTGCTCAAGCCTACTGCCAAGTTATGCTGGTTAGAGCAATAAAGGGCATTTGTTCCCCTCCCCACCAAAAAAAGAAAGTCTCATGCTGTATGGACTGAGCCAGCCAGGTATCCCAAGAAATTTTCTCTTATTCAGCCCTATTGTTCTATTCAGGCCTTCAGCTGATTGGATGAGGTCCACCCACATTAGGAAGAGAATGTTGTAGTGACATTGTTAAATGGGGTGCCTGTCTGGCTCAGTTGGTGGAGCATGTGACTCTTGATCTTAGGATGGTGAGTTCAAGCCCCACACTGGATACAGAGCCTACTTTAAAAAAAAAGTAAGAAAGAATAACATTGTTAAGTTGATTGTATCTACAGGATAATAACACTATAACCTTTTCTTTTTTTTCTAAGTTTATTTATTTATGTATTTATTTTAGTCATCTCTACATTCAACATGGGGCTTGAACTCATGACCCTGAGATCAAGAGTCACATGCTCTTCCAACTGAACCAGCCAGGCGCCCTCATAACCTTTTCTACTAAATCCTTTGCATCATTACCAGACCAAAATCTATAAGTTAACATGTGACTTCACAGAGTTTTATCCTTTAATCAATAATAGATAATGAGTTAATCACAAGTATATTGCCTTGATAGTTCATCTTTGGCTAGCCTTGCCGCCTTTTCTTTGCAGCATTTCCAAGTTATGGAAATTGTTAACAAAACAATCCTTTATCTTACTGCTCTGCTGCTCTTCAGTGTCTCCTTTTTTATAAGATAAATGTTCATCACAAGTGTTCCTCATTGCTATAATTTTGTAATAAGTTTTGATATCTGGTAGTCCATGTCTTCCAACTTTAATATTATAAGATTATATTAACTATTTTTGGCCATTACATTTCCATATAAAATTTTATTTTTTAATGATTAAAAAAATTTTTTTGAAAGAGAGAGACCATGTGCAAGCATGAATGAGGGAGGGGCAGAGGAAGAGAGAATCCCAAGTAGGTTCTGTGCTGTCAGTGCTGAGCTGGATATGGGGCACAATCTCATGAACTGTGAGATCATAACCTGAGCCAAAACCAAAAGTTGGATGCTTAACTGACTGAGCCACCCAGTCGACCCTGAACATTTTTTTAAGTAAAAAATGTGGGGTCAAACTCATGACCCTGAGATCAAGAGTCATATGTTCTACTGACGGAGCCAGCCAGACCCCCCTCTGTATACATTTTAAGATCAGTTTATCAATTTTTATACACTCTCTCTCACACACAAACCTACCATCTAGGATTTCTTTAGGATTGTGTTAAAGCTAGAGATAAAACATTTAGGTTGCTTCTAGTTTTTTGCTGTTACAGATTAATGTTAACATTCCTTTATTTAATAAAGAGGTTGTGGGACTTTATGGGAATTTTTTCACTTTAGGCCCAAAGGAAAAATAACAATTTGGTGACTCTAAGCACAATGATCTTTTAAAACAAAACATTGAGGAAGATTTTACTTTGCCCAGAGAAATTTCTGGGTCCACAATTAGAATATATATTTTAAGGCATCTCAATAGTTTTAACTTTTTACGTGCTGAATTTGAGGTACCAGTGTAATACGCAGGTAGAGAAATCTAGCAAATTATTGAACATATGGGTCTGAAGTTGATGACAACAATCTGAACTAAAGATACAGCTTTGAAATCTGTTGACATACATAGATAGCAAGTATCTGTGGGCAAGGTTAGAGTTTGTGAAGGAAAAAAGGGCTGTACGCAGAGACTTAGGGCTTTATTTCATATCTATATGAACTAGTATGAGGAGGAAAATGAGCCTAACCAACAGTAGATTAAGGAGGAAGGGGGCCCTAAATCATGTGTGTGTATGTGTTGGGGGTGGGGGCAGGCCTTGCTCTGTGCCATAGAGCTTTTCATGGTGTCTTGACCACTGGACAGGGTTATGTTTGTTCTTTTCTTTTCTTTTTTTTTTAAGTCTGTTTATTTTGAGAGAGAGAGAGAGAGAGAGAGAAAGTGCATGAGAGTGGGGGAGAGGCAAACAGAGGGAGAGAGAGAGAATCCCAAGCAGGCACCACTCTGTCAGCGCAAAGCCTGATGTGGGGCTCAAACCCACAAACCGTGAGATCATGACCTAAGCTGAAATCAAGAGTTGGATGCTTAACAACTGAGCCACCCAGGTGCCCCTGGTTTCTGTTAGTTTTGAGTTCCTTCTCTGTACCACATCCCTCACTAACCCATCACCTCCCAAACTTCTACTCCTTTTCCTAGACCTTTGTGTGTTTTGGCTCTTAGAATCAGAACTGTTCTCTTTTTTTCAGTAGGGCTGACTCCCTCTAGGTACCTGGATTTGCCCATCTGTTCAGATTCATAAAGACAGGAATTGATCTCCAGCGATCCAGGGCCAGGTGAGAGAGCTCAGTACAGCAGCAGTGGGCCATGGGCAAGTCAGCTTCCAAGCTGTTTAATAATGAGGTCCTAAAGGCCCACAACAAGTACCAGCAGCAGCATGGTGTCCCCCTCAACTGAAGCTCTGCAAGAAGCTTGATTGGGAGGCTCAGCATTATTCAGAGGCCCTGGTCAGCCCAAGGATGCTCAAGTGCAGCTCAGAGTCCCATTGTGGCCAGTTCAGAGGTATATGCCTCCTGTGATCAGACAGGAAAAGAGATGGCTGATAGATGGTACAGTGAAATCAAGAACTACAACTTTCAGCAGCCTGACTTCACCTCCAGGACTAGACCCTTCATAGCCATGGTATGGAAGAATACAAAGAAGATGGGAGTGGGGAAGCCACCTGCAAGTGGTGGGTCTTCCTTCCTGGTGGCCTGATACTTCCTGGCAGGGAATGTCTTCAACTAGGCTTCCTGCCTCCAAAGAAGGAATTCATTAAATGTGATGGGAAGGTGACAGACTTCATGTGGATATGAAGTGCCTAGAAAAATAAAAACTCAGTGGTGTGTCTGTCCCTGTGGGTGTATGTGCTTGGTGTGTGTGTGATGCATGTGAGTGTCTCTTGCACATACACTTGGATATACAGTTCTATATGAACTTATTCTTATCAAAGGAAGGAGCATATAAAGCTTTTACTCTGATGGTTACCTAGACCATAATTATTTGGACATTTGGGGAAAAATAAATTTAAAAATTTTTGTTATTTAAAAAAATGTTTTTTAACATTTATTTATTATTGAGAGACAGAGAGAGACAGAGCATGAGCATGGGAGGGACAGAGAGAGGAGGAGACACAGAATCTGAAGCAGGCTCCAGGCTCTGCACTGTCAGCACAGAGCCAGATGTGGGGCTCAAACTCACAAACTGCGAGATCATGACTTGAGTGAAGTCGGATGCCCAACCTATTAAGCCACTCAGGCACCCCGTTTTTGTTATTTTTAAAGGAAATTTCTTTTGTGCATTTCTTATAATATCCATCTTTGGACTTTTTGTATTCTAAATGTTTGTGATAGTTAGAAGTGAAGTTCAGAGCTGCCTCTATTAATGTAAAATTGAAAATTGAAGCTTTAGCCAAGCATACAGCAGCCACCTTTAACTAAAAGGGAGTACCCTTTTTTGTAAGGACAATATATTGACAGGTCTTTGGAGCATTATTTGCTCCAAAACAAATTACTTTAGGGGTTGCTGGGTGGCTCAGTGAGTTGAGCGTCTGACTTCAGCTCAGGTTATGATCTTGTGCTTCACGAGTTCAAGTCCTGCGTCGGGCTCTGTGCTGACAGCTCAGAGCCTGGAGCCTGCTTTGGGTCTGTGTCTCCCTCTCTCTATATACCCCTTCCCCACTCATGCTCTGTCTCTCTCTGTCTCTCAAAAATACATGAACATTTTTTTAGACTTTCCATTCAATTATTTTATTTTATTTTTTTACTAGTGCGTGTTCATTTATTTTTTTAATATAATTTATTGTCAAATTGGTTAACATACAGTGTGTACAGTGTGCTCTTGGTTTTGAGGGTAGATTCCCATGATTCATTGCTTACATACAACACCCAGTGCTCATCCCAACAAGTGCCCTCCTCGCCCTCCTCAATGCCCATCACCCATTTCCACCCCCAGTTTATTTTCTGTATTTAAGAGTCTCTTATGGTTTGCCTCCCTCCCTCTCTGTAACTATTTTTTTCCCATTCTCTTCCCCCATGGTCTTCTGTTAAATTTCTCAAGTTCCACATATGAGTGAAAACATATGACATCTGTCTTTATTTGACTGACTTATGTCACTTAGCATAATACCTTCCAGTTCCATCCATGTTGCTGCAAATGGCATGATTTCATTCTTTCTCATTGCCAAGTAGTACTCCATTGTATATATAAACCACGTCTTCTTTATCCATTCATCAGTTGATGGACATTTAGGCCCCTTACATAATTTGGCTATTGTTGAAAGTGCTGCTATAAACAGTGGGGTACATGTGCCCCTATGAATCACCACCCCTATATCCTTTGGATATATTCCCAGTAGTGCTATTGCTGGGTCGTAGGGTAGTTCTATTTTTAATTTTTTGAGGAAACTCCACACTGTTTTCCAGAGTGGCTATACCAGTTTGCATTCCCACCAACAGTGCAAGAGGGTTCCCATTTCCCCACATCCTCACCAGCATCTGTTGTTTCTTGAGTTGTTAATTTTAGCCACTCTGACCAGTGTGAGGTAGTATCTCAGTGTGGTTTTGATTTGTATTTCCCTGGTGATGAATAATGTTTTCATGTGTCTGTTGGCCATCTGGATGTTCCTTTGGAAAAGTGTCTATTCATGTCTTCTGCCCATTTCTTCACTGGATTGTTTTTCAGGTGTTGAGTTTGATAAGGTTTTTATAGATTTTGGATGCCAACCCTTTATCTGATATGTCATTTGCGAATATCTTTTCCCATTCCATCGGTTGCCTTTTACTTTTGTTGATTGTTTCCTTTGCAGTGCAGAAGCTTTTTATCTTCATGAGGTCCCAATAGTTCATTTTTGCTTTTAATTCCCTTGCCTTTGGAGATGTGTCGAGCAAGAAATTGCTGCGGCTGAGGTCAAAGAGGTTGTTGCCTGGTTTCTCCTCTAGAATTTTGATGGTTTCCTGTCTCACATTTAGGTCTTTCGTCCATTTTGAGTTTATTTTTGTGTATGGTGTAAGAAAGTGGTCCAGGTTCATTCTTCTGCATATTGCTGTCCAGTTCTCCCAGCACCATTTGCTAAAGAGACTTTTTTTCCATTGGGTACTCTTTCCTGCTTTGTCAAAGATTAGGTGGCCATACATTTGT